ATAACATGGCAGTACAGACAGAATGCACAATTCAAGATGATCATTGTATTGTACAGAGGAATACTGACGATATGAGTATCAAGTTCAGTGCATGAAATAGCTATTCATTTAGGTACAGATGTGAAATGTATGAATGTTTAATTCATATAGAAATGGAATATTAAACAGCAGTGGGCAATATATAAGAAATGCGAGGAAGAAAAGGAAAACAAAGTCTCCTCATAACAATAACGTAACAATCTGATGAAATATTTCTTAAATATCGAAAATAAGCACCAATCATGAAACAACTATAATCAATATTATGCATATGAAGAGTCAAATGAACTATCTGATAAAGTAATGGATGCATTTTTAAAGTGATATACAAACACGACAAACGAACCTAAAATAATGATGCGTAATATATTTGCAGATGCTAATGAGATCAGATGGATATTCCGTGCTCAAAACTTGGATTTTGACCATTACATGCTCATGTAATCAAACTAACAAAGAATTTTTCAAATCAAGTCCATGTTATTTGTACATAAAAAAAGGACAAAATAATCTAAGCTATGCAAAAATTTCACAACATGCAAGTAAAAACCGTAATGCACAGATATCCCAACGCAGCAGAAAACTGAACAAACCAATATCCAATTGATGCATAACTTAAAAACCAGTGGAAAATAAGTCAAAATGTGGCTAAACATTTGATTCCGGAGTAATTTTTAAGGCAAATTTTGATGTCGATGACTGCTGTTCAGTGAGATTAAAAAAAGGAAATGAATGAAGTGAACAAAGCAACTGTACTCCAGCATCATCATCACGTTCGTGACAACGCAAAACAAACACTGTGCCATGCTTAATACCGGCAGATGCTTGGACATTGCATACAATTGACCACTTTGTTTCCCTCACACGCTCCTAAAAGCATCAATTCATTACACATCGGTATACAAATCATCCACTCTTGGTATACATATAGTAGTCCAACGCAAAAGTGCATCACGAGTTCAGTAGGGAAGTACTGAGAATATATAAAACATCTAGCGACAGTTATGAATCAAAATTAAAGGAACAAATTTTCCACTTAGAATTTTCAGTCTATGATAGGAAATAGCAAAAATAATAAGATCTAAGTTAAGAAAACTAACTGGAAAAGGGAATTTGGAAGAGAAAAATCTCTGTAAAAAAGTAGCAGCTGTAAAACGAAGTGAAAGACAGCGAGCAAGATGAGCAACAACTTGATCAGCTGTATGTCGAGGTTGCTGTCGGGTAAGCTTCAAATACTTATTCAATGGCCTAGCAATTGCAGAAAACACTGCTTGCGCTGCCCCAAGTGCTTCCATAGGCTCTCCCAAAACCTGTAAAAATTCATGATTCTGTGGTTTCGTAAACTATGTAGTCCTAACAGTTTTGACACAACGAGACTTAAAGAAAAAGTTTCCGAAAAGTATACCTTATTTTGATTGTTGGTCGTAACACTTTGAACACTTGAAAACGCCTCTTCCGTGGTACTAATCAAGCGATATTTTCGTTTTTGAACTCGCCGTTCCCATTCTACTATTTCATGATAACGTTCATTGTGTCCACCGATTCGTCTTTTCGCGGCAGCCTCCATGATTGCACGAGCATTAGCTTCTGTTATAGTACATTCGTTACCCAAACCTTCGATGTCATACATCTTGAAACCTCCAGTTGATTGTGACACACCTAAACTATTTACTTAGAGATAAAACGAAGAACCTCTTGACATTAAGACTTCTTCCACGACTAGGAATGTTGTTTCCAAAGGGATGCAATACTGAGTAAGAGGTAATAAGCGTAACAGTACACCACTGCCTGTTTGAAAATTTTTGGAAAGAGAATTATTGCCAAGACAATAAGGTTGTCAAGATCAACCTGCTACGCTGCACACAAGAAATTAAATTCCAAACATCGCCGATTCTATTTACTACGCTACATTCTACTCTTATTTATAACATCGAATAAAATAGCAGAATCCAAATGACTGGCATAAGACAAAGCTCCCAATTATGTAATCAAGAATAATACGACAAGGAACAAAAACACGATGCTAAATAGCAAGGAAAGATCTTTCATATTAGAAATTAGTAGCAATAGTAAAACATAACATGAGAATAACTTGCCAGACCGGAAATGCATTGAACCACCGTTGAATGATTTGTCCATATAGGGATTGTAAGATGGGAAAGTAGAATAATACATCCTGAGAACATGGACAGCAGCTTCTTGGATACTCATTAGACCAAGGCTGAAAGTTCGACTTTCTCCATCCGGATTCCTTACAACGCTAACAATGAATTCTGGCCTCAGTGCCCGCAGCTCCAAAAGGATGACCGTAATGTAGTGCAAATAAAGCATCGCATCGAGTAATGAAAGAGCAAAACCGACAATGACATTATAACTGCTTTCTTTCTCGAATAATATACGAACAGAATAGAACAACCAGAAGGCAAAAAGAATGAATAAAGCTAAGAATGCTAAAGCAGCACGATGAAAAAATAGACGCGGCATATCCGCTGAAGCATGCCGGAAATACATTGCCCAAAGTGCGCCTAATAATAGCAATGTTTTTACTACCAAATTCAACAGCAGTCCTTGGCAATCAGCACCACACAATACCTGCAGATTTCGAAATCACAGCGAAGCATCTCAAACTACATCACATGTCAGGGAATCTGGTGATGACAGGTACGTGCTATTTTAAGCTGGTTAACTAGCGATTCTCGGATTAAGTATTTCCCTAACTTATTAGATTTTCCGACGTAAATATATATATATATATACATATACGTATATATAGAAAAAAAAAACCTCTGGCCAGCCGAATCCAACCTGATACAAAATAATTGGTAAAGCAACCATAAGAGATGGAGAAATAATAGCCAAGAATGAAACAAGCGAAGCACTGAGTAGCCAAAATATCCGAGAACATCTCCTAGCAACAACACGTCCAACTGGAGCTACAAGTGCTCTTTCCGCAAGACCGCTATAAGAGTGTTCACTTGTATTACCAGTTACAACCGTGGTATTTTCTGCCCAGTTATCATCGTCGGCCGTCAATTTCATGCCCTAAAAAAAAATTTGCGGGTTGGATATTAGAAGGTGAACTAAATGAAATAGAAGCAGCACTTTTAAAAAGAAATACCTCACTTGCAGCCACCGAAAAACTGGGAATAAAGGAGGTACCAGCATCTACTGAACCAGCACATCCGCGTGATAAATTTCGAACCATTCGTAAGTTACGATGTGACGAAGAACGTCGTCCCGAGTTCTCTGACACCAAGGACATGAACGACTCGTTACTTACACATGGAACCGAAAGTTATTTTTACAATCTGTGGTCAAACAAAATAATTACCCACTACTACTGAGAATGAAAAACAAGAAGTTCAAAGCTAAGCAATTCTGAAAATATCCCTTACTTTATGGACGCATCACAATGCATATGACAACTGATGCATTTATTACTCCTGAAAGAACAAAAAAGTAGCAAGTGCAGGAAGCTTCGGGGGAACTGCGAAACGATGAAAATATGAAGTCGCAGAATAACTCAGCCCATTACACTTCTATTGGATTCATTTTTCAACCGATCCCAGATGCATTTAACCAACAGCCAAAGAAACTACTTACGCATTACTTACATAGGTTGCATGAATGACCGACATAACATAAAAACAGAAATGCTGCATGAAACTTCATTTCAAAATTCTATATGAGCACTACAAAAGTATTCAAATGCAAAGCAATTGTGAAAATCAGCAGTTAAGCAGGAAATGATCAAGATTCTTATCCAAGCGCTGCCCTACTTCAAAATTACATCGCTTTGAGCTCATGCTCATTATGGAGAAAAAGACTCAAATTATTAAAAGAGTCATTTGAAAGGAAATCTTGACTTACTGAACAACTAAAACTTATCCACACTCCTTTTCTATACAACGACAGGGACCACTGTCAAGATCAACATCGCGGTCACAATTCATGGAGTTAAGCGTAGACTACGAACCGTTAAAGGCTTTGTGATACCGTGCCTGGGCCGTTAGGAAAAAGACTGTCTCAATCAACTTATTCGTTGGAATAAGAAAATTGGCGAGATGGGAGATATATTAACAGATTGTACATATTGAGTGCAAACCGCGGCATCCTGGTAGTATTGCAACGTGTTGTGTGAGACATGATAGGGTTGAGGTAATTGGGAATTGCAGTTAAAAAGGATGATGAGTGACACGCAGAGTGTTATGTAACAAAACAGCATCCATCGTAATCGATCCGTACGTGATGAATACGCCGAAGAACTGAGGGCTCGCAGTTGCCTGAAATGTCTGGATCAAATGATCTTACAAATTTTGGTTGTAGCTGTCTGAGTGAATAAAATAAACAATGAGGTAAGTATAGACTTATAGAATGGGAATGACAAGACATTAGTGTCTTTTGGTTGTCGTAGGTGAGGGTTTCTAGGACCAACTGCGGGAGCATCACATACTGCTCTGGTTATCATTGAATCAGTAACCCTTTTCATCTGTAATGTTGTCTGCCTTGGGTGTGGTACGGGATAAGGGTGTTACAGCGAATCGTCACAAAGACAAATATGTTTACTGTCGAAGGTTGTTATATTTATCCTGCTTTCAAAAATCAGTCCATATGAGAGGAAGCAGGAGGACGGAGTGCACCGCGAAACTACCTTATCCTAGAACCTTCCATGCCCCAGTACTCACGCATCTTTCCTCTTTTTCATGCACTTTGTGTGCTGGACTGTGAGCCATACTTTTGACTTCAGTGGTTGCAATGTAATAATTATGTTTGTCTTTGGTTATTATTACTTCAGTCTCCAGTCTTGGTTCTGGCACTTGATGTATAGTGCTAATTTAAAGGGTAGACTTGCTAATGACATGTTGCAACACATCGGCTAAGAGCATTCAAGGAACGATGAGTATGATGCGACCAAGAGGCTAGTTTGCTGCAATTAGTTAATATTTATGATTCGCTTTTGTGTTTTAGATTTCCTTTCATGATATCGGCTATTCGAATTTCATCTTAAAACAAATTTCGAGCGTTTAGTACCGCTTGGACTATGTATCTGTCGTGGTCGTCAGTCTTGGTTCCAACGTTCACGATATATCTTTCTTCGTGAGGAATACTTTCATCGATACGAAACGGTTGTTGATTGCTATCACTGACGTAGCGCGAAAATCTGCGGATATTTCCGACATCTCAACACAAACGGCTTAATGGATGCACGACAAGCTGCACAGTTTGGTAATGTATCAAGACTACAGGAACTATTAGATTCTGGAGAATGTACTCCGGATACGTTGGATGCTGACGATTGCTCTTTACTACATTGGGCGGCTATTAACAATCGGTAATTTTTTTTTTTTGTGTATGTTTTCTGGATTCTTCTACGTACTCATCCTTACTTTATTTCAAATATTTCATATGTGCAATATTGCAGTGGAATTAACTTTTAGTTAAAAATTTCAATTCCTTCGACGGATATTTCGTATAGCAAGTTTTGTTTTGTTATCCTTTGTTTAGTTTACCCATAACTCGAATATTAATCGACCGTGGTTGCAATGTTAACGCAGTCGGTGGCGTGCTTGCTTCAACACCACTCCACTGGGCAGCACGACATGGTCACACTCATATGGTTGCTCTATTGGTTGCTCATGGAGCTGATCTCCATCTGAGTGATGTTGAAGGTATTTTTAAATACTTTTTTTGCAGATATTCACTAGTAATTTTATTTGTGGTTTGTCATTCTTGAATATGCTTAATTAGATACTTTTTAAAACAGGATAAAATTGAGCAGAGTAAAAAATAGAATTTTATAGTCACATGAACTTTTGTCAATGTTTTTTGCAACTGTCGTCCAGTTAACCGGTTGGAATATCATTCAAGAATAACTGCATTGCAAAAATCACGATGCTGTTCGTTGAGAGTATTTCACGTGAGCCAGGAGTACAAACATCTAGCATGGAAACTTTTCCACTACTGTCTCAATCACCTCTTTTTCTTTTCCTTATTTTTATTTATTTAACTCAGGTAACTTGACGTTACAGGTTTTACTCCTCTTCATGTTGCTGTACAGTTCGGAAGAACGTCAACAGCTGCATATTTGATTGCTGCGGGACAGTCTGCCGATGAAAGGGATGAAACAATGATGACACCGGCAATGTGGGCAGCGTATAAGGTCTAAAATAATTCTAAAATAAGTACTACTTTAACCGGATGAGTTGTAGTTTCATGAACTGTATGTTATATATTACATTAGTCTTAATTTAAAGGAATTAATGATATTGCGTTTTCAGATTTTCAGTCGCGATCCTCTCCAGATGTTAATAACAATGGGTGCCGATTTGTCTTGTACCGATACAACTTATGCAAATACGGCTTTGCATTGGGCTGTGATACAGGGCAATCATTCAGCAGTTAATGTTTTGATAAAATATAATGCGGAATTAGTGCTTCGTAATCGTGATAATGAAACTCCTCGTGATATCGCAACACGACGAGGCGATGTAATTAGCGCACGGATTTTGGAAAGAGCTGAACGCAGGAAAGGGCTGATCTCTTCGACTTTCATCCAGTATGTGAAGGAAAATGATGTGGGTTTGTTCATGAAGTTCAATTTTTTTGAACCTTTCCAATTATCATTCAAACTAATTTTTTAATTTGGCTATCTTTTATAGGTATTAATATCACGAATAATGTTTTTTCTACCGGTTTGTATTATGGTAGCCGTGGGTATAATTTTGCACATTATTTTGTCGTATACAGTTAAGGCTTTATTGCTATTACTAGTTGGTGTTCTTGGACGAACTGTTTACAGGTACTTGTTCGTACTACTTTTGATCTTAGTCCACAAAAAAAAAAGCTTGTCTTTCTCAAAACACTCGTTTCAAGGATATGATTTCAGATTACTCGCAACAGATCGAAGTTTCTACATCATACCTTTAGGCGCAGCAGTTGCGTCAAAGACTATTTTAGCAGTGACTTGGCTACTGTATTTGCATGCCTTTGCTGGGTGGTATGGGCAAATTAGTTTCTTCATCTTTGTAACAATTGCACCAGTATTGTTTTTGTGGATTATTTTTTCCGATCCTGGTATCATCACCGTATCTCATAAAGTAACTGCTTTGGTGCATATTTTCTTCCAGAGTTTTTCAGGAATTGTTTTGGTCACTCTGTAGAAATATTTTCATTTGGAGGTTGAAGCTGTCAATAATTTTTTCGTCTTCAGTATTTTAAAATATTATTATACTGAAAATGAGTTTATTTCCTTCTTTTACGTCCTAATAAAGTGGAGTTATTGTTTATTCAATGTGATACCGAATTATGGTCTTGCAATAAAATTTTACCCTTAACTACCTTCAAAATCACGTTTGGTTGTCCGCAAATGTAAAAACTCAGTTGTCACATGATCTGTTTTGAACTTCCAACTTATATCATTTTTATATTAGCACTCGTTTTTTCTGTTCTATCATCGTTAAGGTCTATTTACATTGTACTTTCAGGAACGTTGCGAAATGATACGCGATATGTGGGAAAAGGAAAACCAAACAGCATTCTCATTTTGTAGCACATGCTTACTAAAAAGGCCAGCAAGATCAAAGCACTGCTCAGTGTGCGATCGTTGTATCAAAAGGTTGTTTTTATTTAATTAAGGTTCGTGTGGAGATTTAACTGATGTTCCGATTTCAGGAGACAAAAAATGTTCCTCTCCTTTCCTTCTTTTTACTTCATTCTGAATAATTCCCGTAGAACTTGGTTTTCAGTAATCGCTGGTTTCTCCACATCTATGAAATGTAAATAAAATTCCACAATTTCTAAAAACCATAATTTCTAAAAACGTAAGCGCTTTTTCCGTGTGTTGGATCTAGTTGCGTCGTATCTTTAATGTAATGTTGTGACTTCGTTTCCAATTTTTAACTTTTTGCTCTTTCAAACATACATAATACGAAGGACTTGCTATTGTTTCAACCAACACTTCGCTTACAGCTGTTGAGTTTTAGAGGCCATACTTCCACCTCAATTTCAACCATTGCAAAAGGGAAGATTGTCTTGGGAACTTTTGCAAAAATCCGGAACGGAGTCGCCCACAGCCGTTGTCTTTTTCACTGAAATACAGTAGCAACCTCTTTGCTCACTGTTTTCTTTTTTGTCGCACTGAATTACAGTGTAGTTACATGTTTGCAGGTTTGATCACCATTGTCCATGGGTCCTGAATTGTATTGGAGAAAAGAATCATTTGCATTTTGTTTTTTATCTCGGTATTGTCATTGCTTCTTCACTGCAGTTCCTCGTCGTAACTTTCCACTGTAAGCTCCCTTCCTATGCTTAACAGATTCTTCATGTTCGGAACTTAAAACTAAGGTGCTTTGACTATGGGAATCCTACCAGTTTTTGGATTGGAGAGGATGATATAAAGGCTGTCAAGGCAAATTTTTCTCGTAGTATCCAACAATATCTATAAATGGTAGCGATGTACTGTACTGAATGACATTCTCCTGGTAGTTCAAAGGATTGGACTGCCTCCATCCCTATTAATTTACGGGTCACAAGACAGTGGCAATAGAATAACTTTCTACTAAGTATTTTATTGATTAGGTGAGCGAGCTGCAAAACATGAAACTTCGCCATAATCACTGAATAATCAGAGTATAGTATGCGTAATTTACAGTGAAATGCTCTCTTAGTTTTGAAACCGGTATTAAACGCATCAGTTTTTACAAACCACAATCGTTCCGGAAAGGGAAGTCTGAGCAAACATTTCAAACGAACGATATCTTAAAATTTATATATAGTCAGTGGATTTTGTGGATTTTTACAAATACAAGTCATGACAAACATGAATGCTTCAAGGGTTTATGATTAATTGCATAATTTTAAGACTGGCGTGATTCATGTGGTGAGATTTCTCGAGCAAATATTACATACTGTAGTCCCTGGGTGACCTATGTCTTTGTCATAACTCTTTGTCATTTTATATGGACAAGCGCGATGTTCATATTTCAAGTATACCAGGTAAGAGCAAACTTGTTAGGAATATGAATTACATGTTTCACTCCATTCTCATAGACTGCGGGAGCGAATTTATGGAGAAACCTGGAAGTACTTTAAATGTTACCAAGTCTTGTACGCACCGCGAAGCAATGTGCAGGAAGCATATTTCTATGCTCCAAATGAAGGATATGATTGAGGCCGGCAGTACTTTTTTTTCTTTCAGGGGGAGATATGGAAACAAATATGAGCGTAGACACCTCGCCTAAGTGCTGTTCACGATTATAAAAATTCATAAATTGCAGATACTTTGCGAAATGACAACAAATGAAAGACTCAACGCTTACAGATATGAACATTTCCACTCAACCGGAGACTGCTTAAGAATAAAGAGCCCGTTTTCGTAAGTGATTTAATATGAATTTGGTTCGAAGAGGAATGTTACAAAACCGTGCAATCAGGGATCTGTTAGTCCTAGAAAAGTACTGTATTTCGTTTAGAACTTGAATTAGAGGAGAAATAAAAGTGTGTGAAATACAGAATGTGTTTCAGTATAGGTAGCAACTGTTGTGATTCCTGTCGTTTCAGGAAAGGAATTTTACAGAATTTATATAATTTCTGTTGCGGTGATGCCATTGCTTCTTCCGAAGAAGAGAACCTGTTAGACTAATTATGGTTGTCTCAAGATTTCGGTTGAGCTTTTGTATATAACAGTAGTAATTCTGTTGTGTAGTATTATTGACTACAATTACAAAAACAAGATCACCAAGAAACACGATACTCAGTGGAGACAGACTAACATGGTGTATACATGTTGGCTATCAATCGTTTCCCTATTTCCTCTGCTGCAAATTGTTCGATAACCTGCAAGAACTTTTAAAGCAATCATGTATTGCTTTAAAAGTTTTTCCATTATGTTTTAAAATGTTTACATTGAGACGAATGCTTATTTTATGTTTGCTAGTTTCTGTTGCAAATAAAAATGGTGCATACCACTCCATTGCCTCATCCAGTCCTTCACCTTTTGTCGCAGATGTTTTGAAAATTTGAAAGGTTCTCTTACGAAGAGCATCCAATCCTAAACTACGATGTACGTCCGCCAAAGAAAGGCAATTAGGGATATCCTGCTTATTTGCCAAAACCATTAAAACAGCACTTTTCAATTCCTCTTCCTGCAACACAACAGGAATTTTTTTAGTTCTGTTCGCTTAGAATGAAAGCATTTAAAAACTGATAAATATGTCAGACTTGGGAAACAATCTGGTTCACAGTAGGGAAGACATAGCATAGTCACTGTGGTTGAAGCCAATTATGGTCCTTGACACATGCATGGTTTGAAACAACGGAAGCATGAATGCAATTTAGCTTTAATTTTAAGGTTCCAAATACGAGCTATCTGCCAAGTTAACAGCTATGTCAAGGTTCACTCAATTCCTCCAACCAAAGAGCTCTGAGATGCCTTCATTTTACATCCACTGATTTACTTTGGGAATGCCGGAGGTTAAACATCTCAGACCTCTAACATTGATACCAGTTCCTGCTTCGAAATACCGATTCTGTCTTTATCTGCCGAATCGACAACATATATTATGGCATCGGTGTTCGAGTAATAACACCTCCAGTATGGACGAATTGATGTCTGACCACCGAGATCCCATACCTGTAATGCATTACCATGACATGAATGCTCTCTATCCTGATGTAACAAATTTATGTTGAACGCACCTAAACTGATTTTGTTGTCAGATAGAAGAAATACATCAAGGAGATACTGAGTAACATTTGACGAAGAATAATATGGTACTGAAATGCTAAGCCCCGGTTTAAATTTTGGCTTACTGTGGTATATATCCCAAAGCAGTTCTTCTGTAACTACAGTAAAATACCCAGCACAATAGCCTCCGTTAAAAAATGAAACTCGTATAAGTCAAGTCAAAATCAGAACAGACAAACCACAACTAATGCTCAACTTTGATACGAAGTGTTTATAAAAAATCGTTTTGTTTTAAAGAATGTACCTGAAATTTGAGATTCTTATAAATAACTTGTTCCACATTGAAACCTATAGTTGGGATCGTCGTCACAACCTCGCCTACCTTCAATTACGGAAATAATAAACAACTAGCATGTTTCAAAAAGGATACCAGACAACCCCGATTCTCAGACCACCAATCTTTATTATGAATAATGAAATTAATAGCCAAAATGGAAATAAAAACACCTGAAGTCTGTATAAAATAGTTGTTTTTCCTGCGCCATCTAGACCCAATATCAAAATTCTCAACTCTTTTTGTCCAAATAAGCTACGGAAATAGCTCAGCACTCCGCCTGAAATAACTAGACAACTGCTGTGTTTTGGGAGGGTAATAGAGAGGTTCTATTATCATCGCTTTAATTACTACAACTTTTGACTGTATGAACGGGAAGGCGATAAACATAACATGAGAAAGAACTCACCCATCAGTGGAAGCAAATTTCAAACAATCTGAAATTTGTTCGGCTATGAAAGATTCAAATTACATCAAGTAGTGTAAAGGTTAGGAAATATCAACGACCACAATTTAAAACAAAGCGGGAGGGAAAATTTCGAAAGCCTCAAATAAAATGGCCAACATATGAACCAACGAGTTGTTCATGAAAACGAATGCCTTCCATACTGATAATCTCTTCAATTTACAAAAAAAAGAAAAAAGACTGACAGAAATTGTAATTATCTAAACTACTTTTGCATTTCTCCTTTAGTCTCTCTACAGACAATACAGAACTACGCTTTATCAAACAAATTCCTTCAAAGTCAGTTATTTCTGTACTAGAACGGATCCCAACCTCTATAAAATCTCGGTCACTTTTTCCCAATAACCAGCAAAAATTGACTAACAAATTAAAATTAAATAAATCTTACCCCCTCCATACTACCAGATAGTTAACAATTTTCATGCGGCCCAAAAATGTAACGGAATGGACACCACCTCCGACTAACACATGTGTTGGGGAGGATGAGTGTGTAAATAAAGGAATAAGATATTTTCCCTTATAATATAATAATATATTTGAATAAGGTTTTTATATTCAAATCGGTTGTTGGGGAATCGCCTTCGTCTGTGGTGATGGTGATCTGTACAAGAAAACCGACAGAATCGCCATCTGACTACTCAGTTTTCTTGGCAAACGAGGTCATCCGGTTAAATTCAAATCCTTCCGCTTGTTCTACTCACTGACCAACAAATCCGAAATTTGACTGACCCGGTTCCAGGCTCGCTTCAAGTGTGTATGCTTTAGTATTAGTGAACAATCTCTTATAGGTATACTAAGGTTCCAGAAATGGATTCCATGACTTAAAATGTGGGAAAAAGTGCCAACAGTATATCTCCGCGTATATCTTCATTTCAGTCCTAACATCAGTCACAGCCCAGTACTGTCATACTCTCATTGTGTTGTAATCATGTCATATAAGCCTCACCCAGTTATGATCCTTTATCTGATAAGAGGGCCACATTCATACCAAGAAAAAAAAAGGTTGCAGTCTCTTGGCTGTTCAATAAACGCTCAGTTCCTCCTCATTCCCCCTCATCGTTAAAGCCGCGAAAGTACAGTTCCCCGCAAATCCAATAATGGAACATTGGGCTAAAAGTAAATAAAAATATAGTGCAAACTGTTTCAACCTATTTATATACCCGAACAGGTCTCCTCATGTGAATTCATGCAACTTACCTTTAAAAATCAATATGACTATTGTATCCAGTCAACGCATTTGCCATTTTGTTGCGGAAGAACTATGCTTACTCATCTGAATGCTTCTCTCAAAGTATGAATGCTGAGCATATTTATCTTATAATATTGAACAGAAGTATTAAACACATTAATATCGTGTTTTCCAGAACAAGACTAATCGAAACACCACTAATGACGTATTCCTTCAAGAGCTACCTACTACGACTACCAATTTTAAGTAATCAGTTGTAAATATCTGACACGACCATGAACATCGTTACATCATTGGTAGTTAGGATTTTTTAGCCTAATCGATTAAGCGCTTCATACTTACTTGAACTTACGCGATTCAAAACTTGTCCGTTAACGCCGCATAATGATGTGCTTACTTTCCCTCGCTTCTACCATCTTTTCCTAATTTTTCTTTTTCTTTTTTTTTAAGAAACCGAAATACTTTCCCGGATAGTGTGCAATATTACAAAAAAAAAAAAAAAGAAAAAACTCATCCGGAACATTTATCAAAGTTTGAGCAAAAACAACCCTTATTCCGCGATGAAACGAATTTTATAATCTTTTGCTATACACGCAATCTCCCTCCACTTCCTTCTCTCTTTTTCAGAAAACGATATAAACGAAAACCCCTTTTTCACAAACTTAATTAGCTACAGATTACAAAATGCCATATAAACATCGGTAAGATATTTTCCGACAAATTTCTGGTGATGGAGGTTGCCTTATGAAACTACAGACACTGTTTCTCTGATTTCTTACTGGACTGAGGTTTCTTTCCAGAAAGTACGAGCTGAGACTGTGCATTTCAGTTAGTGACACAGAATGCCATTAGTTGATATACACACTCTGGTAACAATATAAATAGATGGAGTAACGGAAATCAAACAAATGTTGGTTGTGCTACCGAAGAACAGCATGATGGTAAAAAGGATGACTTCTTGTCAGAAAGAGTAACACCATCAACATGAAAGGCAGAACCAAGATGATCGCTATCTTCTGAATCGGAATGCATGCTTGATACCAAAAGGCGGTCGCGCATTGCTGCTGCCAAATTATAGAACGCATCATCACAATTAATACCTGTTTTCGCGCTCACCTGTAAATTATCAACTTCAACTGTATGTATTCCAGAACATTTCCCGCCTTACAAGCTCAGTGTTTAGCGGTCGCTTGAATATGATTATTCAACATCTCTGGGAAACAACACTAACAAAGGAAATCGCACCTATCACCTACTGAACTTATGATCTGGTCTTAATACCACTTTTCTCAATCTCACTGAAGCTACTGCATATCACGCAGAGTTATTTAGCAACCCGTCCTAGGCATGCTCTACTATTTACCATTTCCTAAAAAATATTCTCAATGCATGAATAGAATTAGTACACAAAGGAACAAGCAGTTATTACTTTCTGTTCACTACATTTTGCATCTGGTCGAAAATGACAAAAAGAAATTGAAGTCGTCATTTGCTAACTATACAGCAGCTACTTCATAATATTGTTCAAAAACTTTGTAAGAACTGTTTGCAACTGGAACAGTAGGGAGGGAAAGCCGCAGAAATATCAAAAATATAGCAAAAGCGTGAACTGAATTTCCTATCACTATATCAGTAAAACGTTAAAAAAGAACAACTTCATAAAGAGAGACTCCAAGCTGGTTAGCGAGACGTTCAGCGCGTTCAAAATTAACCGTTCTTTTATGTTCTAAATCAGCTTTGTTTCCAATTAACATTAGCACTGCATTTGATGGAGCATGCACTCGAATTTCCTGTAATATATTCAGTTGACAATTCATCATGATATAGTGAGAGAGAACCGCTTCCTTTATTGTTTCTTTTTCTTAACAACTAGAACAAACGCCAGAATAATCAATGATGGAACCTCGGCTGAAACAGCTGTAAAATCAAAAAAATTCGATTCGATAAAACAAAAATTCGATTACCGACAAAACTGAAAATTGGTGGAAAGCAAAATCATCTGGGAACTTGTCTCTTTTTACCGACGTCTTTAGAAAAATTACTTTTGAAGAATATTGAAAGTCAAACAATTTTTCCGGAAAGTTCTAAATTTTGACCAGTGAATCAGTGAATTTAAAAAGAAAAAAGGTTTCCAAAAAATGAAATCCGACTCTAGAAAGAGTTATAATATATTTGTTTATGGAAAATGACTCAACAAATCATTTCCTTCATGAAGCTTACCTTTAACCAATAATTACGCAAATTATCAAAAGATCGCTCGTCTGTCAAATCATAAACACACATTACCCCATGTGCTGAATGATAATATGAATTATAGATTGTTCTATAACGTTCCATCCCTGCAAAATTTTTAAAGCAGCCAATTATTCTTCAAAATATTTCTTCTTCACTAGAATTTAATTTTAATGCTTTAATCTTAAATAATTACCACAGCTGTTTAGTTATTCAGTGCATGTATTGTTTACTGGCAATAATGTGAAAATACAGTGAATAATACCTTACGTGAGGGAGAGGAAGGGCATTGTAAGTAGAATTGTAAATTCTAAGAATCGTAAGGAGAACGTAAGGAATGATTTCATGCTACTCAACAAATCATAAACGTTTATATCAATTCCATGATTTTTCCTGATTCCTAACACCCTCACCATATGCATACGAAGATTTAGCACACAAAGATCTTGAAGCCATAAATTATGTCATATTTAAAATCGGTTGTTTATATATGTGAATAGAAGAGGATAAATTTATTGTTGCTGAATCAGGGATTATGTCAAACCGTCTTTTCTTTCACGACACTACTCATTCTTCGAATCAGGCAGGTTGAACCAACAACTGTTTGTATTCTCATTCAGTGAATCCAATACTCACAATGCAGTGAAGACGTGAATTACTGTTGCTTAAATATCGTATGAATAAAAAAGAAAAAAAATTTAATTAGATAAATGAAATAAGAACACAACAGAGTACCAGCTGTATCCCATAATTCTAGCCGGATTTTGTCACGACCAAGTTTAATTGTCTTCAATTTGAAGTCAACGCCAAGCGTAGTAATGTGATCCTGGCGAAATGAATTCTCAGCAAAGCGTAGCAAAATGCACGATTTGCCACAATTATGGTCGCCAACAATAACGATTTTGAATAAATAATTATAACTCATAATGATAAGTTAACAGTGAATGATTTCTACAGTGTGTTAAGGAAGGAATGCAAAGAATGATGACCCAGTAAGGGTTGGACCAGCTTGTACCTATAGAAATAAATTAGTAAGTAGGCGACGTACGGTCTTTAAATGCGACAAGCAGAAGACTGAAGGAAGATGAAATGATATAAGTGTATAGTGAGGTGATTAATAACAAATCTGGAAATGGTTGGTTGCTTCAGAGGTACGGGATCCGATAAGGAGCACAGCTGCGAAGTAATAAGTGAATGAATCAAATATGTAACAAATGAATAGAGCTATCTCCCTATCAGTCAGTAGTGATAACAGCAGCAACAGTAGTAATAATAGAAGCAATGAACAAACACAGCAATAACATCGATGGTAGGAAACAACAGTATCATTTCACTTCACGAATCAACTAGTCATTAAAGGACTGATCATACGTGTAAGCAAGATGAGGGCGCAGCGGTCATAAAGTGCTACACGAAGGGACGATTGAATGCCAAGTGACCTTTCGTTTGCTCGTTCGCTACATATCTCTCACATTCTCACTTCCTCACATTCTCTCTTTATATACAGAGAAACTGGTTTCGATAACCATCCTATTGACACATAAAGAAAAAGGGGAAGGGAGAGAAAAGAAGAAGAAATAAAGCAGAAGATGCTGTATGACTATGGAGTGCGATGAGCGAGTCGCAAGTTTTTTGAATTATGATAGGAAGAGAACCTGGAATAACTAGCTCGATGACATGAAAAGTGAACTAGACCGAGAAGCAGAAACAGTGTTGCACGCAAGTAATGCATGAATCTTTAGTGCTGGAAAGGCTGCATGCAATATTTTCGCACTTGCTGGAAGATGGCGAACTTTGAATATTCATATTTTCATTTCAGGCTATGCATTCTTGAATATTTGAAACTTCAGACAGCATGATTTTTCTGTTTTCTCGTTACTCGAGTAAGTGTTCCTCTAATTTGAATTCACCATCAGGAAATCTTGAAGGTCCGACCTCGAAGACTCGATTTTTAACACTCTCACCGATGGCACTGTCAAATTTCTTCACTCTTTACCACTTTTTTTTTTCTAACAAATAATACTTTCTACATTCGACTTCCCACTCTCTCTGCCGCTTTTGTTTACAATTCCTCCATCTTTACTGCAAAAATTTTTTCCACTCAACGATTAAGCATTCATGTATTTTTTATTAATAGAGATCACTTAGCGATCGTTGAGCAATCGCTACAGTATCTTTATCATAAAAAATGATTACTCTGAAAATTGTAAGAGATTAACACTTGACACAAATTTACGAATCGTCAGACTTCATTTAAAAGGATATCGACATTGTCGGAATTTATGTGGCATTCTTAATTAATAGGTAAAGTACCCTGGCAATCCAACCTATTTAAAAAGTATCCTGCTGTTGTCCACGGAGGAGAATTGAACAATTTTCTCTGAGGGGATTACTGGGTAACTAATTGGTAATGAAGTGAGCGCACAAAAACAAATGAACAGCTCTGTTGAGACTAAAACCATAATTAAGATCGAGATAGACAACACGCAATAAAGTGATGCCCATTAACCCAAAAGCAAACTTATTTCAAACCAAATATAATTTGGATTTGATTTCCTATTGATCAAAAACGTTTTAGCTTTTGCTGATTTCGGCTTATAAATTTCCGATTTTTCATTTTTTATTACTTATACCGCACCTGCTTATGTTCATTTCCTTCTAGGACAGCAACTGACTTTTGCTTCAGACTATTTCTCTATCGAAAAGCTTAAAACATACGAGAAAAGGCTCATTTCATGAAGTCGACTTATTTGCAACATCTTTTCTTTACAAAATTCTTAATTAAGGATTCAAGTTCAAGGCGAAAATTATTCTGCATTCCAAAACTATTGAGACATGATGAAACAGCGCGGAAATAAAGTAGGCCTGCTTAGTTCTTCGGATAAAGGAATTCAACAGAGTGAGATCCGTACTATACGGTAAGTCTTCAATAAACTGTTCCAAATCAATTTCGAAAACACTTTTTTTCCCCTCATATTTATTAAATGTATAAGTGATCCAACAGCTTCAACGGCGAACTTCATTGTAAATATATTTTTGATCTTATGTATATCACACAGTTCGACTTCCGTATCTGTCAGCTCTCTGGTGCTATTTGTCCGTTAATAGACTGATCTACGAATCTAAAGACTAAATATTCCAAATAATGATGTTTTAATTTTCAAATTGTGCATTCTACTTATGAAGAAGTTGGAGTCCATCAAATCTTACACTTCTGCATCTATTTGGGATATTTTTTTATTCCACATACTTAAGAACTATTGCATAATCAGAAAAATTTAATCAGAAAAATAAGCTTAGTTGTCAGACCAGATATCCATTACCATATTGAAAATTGCAAGTAAGCTTGATTATCGGATCAGATATTCTTTAGAACAGTATATTAGGAGTTGGACAAATGGTTTATCACTTAAAGGTGTTGAAAAACATTTTGTTTTTCTTTT